AATAATTCTAGATAATTAAGTATCAAATAATAATAATTCAAATATATTTAGATAACAATTTCTTATTATGATCAAAATGGTTTTATGTACTTGTATTTAGTGCCTACAAGAATCAATTAGTAAAGGTAAACCAGTTAGTCGGTCAACGTGTGCAAAACATATAAAAAAACAGAAAAAATATTGGTCTAATCTAGATAATATGCCTATACTACAGTGACGACTAGACACTCCTATTTCTCATATTCCAATAGTATCATCATCCGTTACCATTGTGAATCCATTATCTACATCTCCATTATCGTTACCTGCTAATATTTCAATACCATGTCAAGCGAATCAAAACAATGGAAATCAAGATCATAATAATGAAAACGTTATAAGTGAAGAAACAGTGATACAAAGTCATATGATGTCTGATGAAGAAGATTAACTCGAGATATTGGAGAATGAAGAAGAAAGTGATGAGAGCAACCAAAGCAGTTATATAATGTCTGATGAATTGTTTAATAAAGATCAACTCGAAGTATTGGAAGATAAAGAGAAAGATGATAAAGGCAGTCAAAACAGTCATATAATATATGACGAACTATTTAATGAGGATCAACTTGAAGTATTAGAAGATAAAGAAGATGATAATGAAGGTAGTCATATAATATTTGATGAACTCTTTAATGAATATCAATTTGAGATATTGGAGGAAGAAGAAGATGATGATGATGATGAAGATGAAGAAGATAATGATAATGATAACGATAGTGATGATGAGAATAATAAAGAAATTAATGAGGAAGATGAGAATCATGAATATAATGATGAAATTTCAGAAGATTTAATCAAAGGTTTACAGCTTCTCCAAATTAAGGATAGACATAACATCTCAGATGCTGCATTTAACGAAATTCTTAAAGTTTTAGAAATTCCTAGAACATCTATTTACAAACTTAGAAAGTTTCTTGGAAAAATTATCCCATTGAAACCGAATCTTATAGATTGTTGTGTCAACTCATGCGTAGCATTTACTGGAAAGCTTTCTAATGAGAATTAATGTCCAGAATGTAAAGAAAATCGTTACAGGTCTAATCTGATCGCAAGAAAAAGTGCTATATACTAGTCACCTATAAATTCACTTCAAAAATAATATAAAGATAAAGATCGTATTAATACTCTTCTTTACTGACATAATTATACATCAACAGATAAATATAATTCTGATAATTATATAGGTGATATATTCAATGGTATTCGTTATAAAACTTTAGTTTCTTTAGGATTCTTTTTAGACTATCAGGATATTGCTTTGATAGCATCTACAGATGGATATCAAATATTTTGTCAGAAACGAGATGACTGCTAGATTGTTCTTTTAATAAATGCAAACTTACCACCTTCTATATGTGTTCAACGTGAAAATTTGATGATTTCTGTGCTTATTCCAAGACTAAAAGCTCCAAAGAATTTTAATTCTTTTTTACAATCACTAGTTAATGAGTTAAAGCAATTATAAGGTAATATTACTATTAATTTGGTTATTTATTTATTATATATTGTATATTATCTACTTATTTATTATAATAAATATAGAAGGTGTCTAATGCTTTGATAGCATGACTGAAAGTACATTTACTCTCCGTGCATACATTCTAAGTTGGTCTGGTGATATCCCTGCACTCGCTAAGATTATGTATACAACCAGACATAATTCATATAAGGCTTGCCGATTTTGCTCAATTCGTGGAGTAATTCATCAAGGAAATCGTCATGTCTACTTTTCACTCAAGCCTCCAACTAATGTTTCAGATATTCAGTATAATCCCAAAAACCTTCCATTACGAAAACATAAAAATTATATACAAGATGTTACAACTATAGAAAATATGAATGGATCATCACGTAAACGCAAAATGCGAGCGAAAGGTAAGTTAATAGTATTGAAAATAACATTAAAAAATAATTATTAAATTATAATTTTAATAATTTATCTGTTTCCTT